CCTAACGGAAAGTAGTTCCATAATGTTAAATATCTTGGATAAAATGTGATTCGTTCGATATAGATTATATCCAACTGTAAATATAGTAAAAGTTAAAAAAATATCAATATTTTTGTATAAGTTATTGTAAGCTCACCAGTTTCAGTTTCCAATTATTATCCAGAAATTTAGATTTTTCAAATTGTAATCGCAGTAAAACATTCTCTATGTGCAGTTCCCTGTCTGATATATTTTGACAAATAATATTCACAATAAATGAATAGCTCAAAATTACGAAAAAAGTAAGAAAAGTAAATACTATTCTAAATAAAGTCTTGTTTTTAGCAAAAAATATTTGCATCATGTAGGTGTACAAAAGCACTTCAAATGAAATCTCATGCAATATTGAAACACCTAAAAATTTCTCCATATAAAGACGGAGTCTTAAAACATTTCTGTACAGTTTCAGAAAATCCTGAAGAGGTAACTGTGTTTCCGTGAAATTTTTATATATTGCATTTAATAGACATGATATATCCTGTAGAATTCCATTATATATCATTAATATAACTGCACTGACGAAGGGGAACACTATTGTCGGTGAACAAGTGATTAATATCCAAAGAAATGTCTTTAAAGTGTAGTATTTAAAGAAGAACATATTTATAAAAATGCCAGCACGTAAAATTATTGCGATGTAGGCAATCCAATTGATATGTGGATCCATTCTAAAAATACTGAAATGATTCCGATATACTTCCAAAAATAAATTCATAAATATGTCCAACTCATTGTTTTTTGATATTATATGGTAAGCGGAAAATATGTTAAAAAAACTGCATTTGGTAATGAAATATATAAATAGTGTAAGCAATGCTTTAATAAAAACTGTGTCAGTTTTAAAATAAGCAAAGCATCCAAAAACTAAGCAAATTCCATTTGATATAATTGTTACTGGTAAGCAAACACCAAATAGACATATTTTGACATATTTCCAAAGTTGAGGTGATTTCACAAATCGCTGCTTTGCTTTGTCGTAACTGAAAGGACACAATCCCATCATCTGCAATATTAGATGCAGGATTTTTAATTGAGTTTGTAGTAGTGTAACCATATCTAGTTGTGAAGATACTAAAATTTTTTTGTCTAAAATATTTTATTTTATTATATATAGTAGAATTTTTTTATTTATGAAATAAAGTAAAGTATATAATTCTAGTAATTGTATTGACCTAGTTCTTAATAACTTCAATAATTAGTATTAATTGTTGATGCTTACCAGTTTATGTGATGCATGCAAAATTACATTAGATATTATTCACACTTTATTTGAAATAAATTTTATTACGGCAATTATACATATACGAGGGGACTAACAAAACTTTTCTTTGCTAACCACAAAAATAATGTATAAAAATAATATTAAGTTTATAACTTTTTCATTTTTCAATATATTTCGTCCGTTTGCATTTTGAAGCCGGTGTGGACTAAACTTTTTAAAACAGTCCTCAAGGTTGAAGATTTGCAACTTTGAAGTTAACTGCAGTCATCATTACCGAAGTTCGAAGATAAATTGTTTTTACGTTGCAATTGTTATTATGCATAGTGCTGGATGAATTTCTTCAATCACTGAAAACGCACTGAGGTCGGTCTGTTTTCAGAGTCAAGGGTACTTGTAAAATCAAACTTACTTTTTACAATTTTATTAAAGTTGTTATACCCTTCATTTTTATTTATGTGGAAAATATTAGGGAAAACAAAAACACTTCATTCAAAATTCGAGGAATCCTTGGTACTACTTTTTCGTGTATACAAGATGATTGGATTATCCTCGCAATACGGCCATGGCATTCAAACCTAGTTTATCAGTTATTAGTTCCTGAGTCAGTCTTGAATTTTCAGCAATTTTAGATTTTAACTGAGTGACGCTTGCTTCATCAGTAAAAAATTTTGGGTGATTTGACGATCACAAGCGAAGATGTGTTCTCTTCATATGATAGCTTGGACTCAATAAATATTTCCGCAAAATGGATTTCATTCTAATATAACACAGTTAGTGAATTTGTTAATGAACTGTCACAGCAAATTAACAAAACTGCAAGTGCGAACAAACAAGTCAAGTACGGCTTTGTGTCAATTGGCTAATGAACGCTGATTCTGATATTCAAATTTGGCAGGGTAAAATCTAAACCTAATAACCTAAAAGTTTAGGTGTCACGAAAAAAAATTTTTAAAAAATGATGGTTATTGTGTCTACATAACTGTAAGTTTTTTTTTAGGTACCACAAATAAAATTGATTTTTTTCTGATCTCATTTTTTTAACTCAAATGTGATTTACTTCAAGGTATATATAATTTAGGCTGATTTGGTGTTCATAAATTTAGAATTTTTTATATTAACTAAATAAAGGATGAGTTAGCAGAGCACTAGCAGTAAAGAGGTGACTTCAGCCCATGATAATTTACATGCCCATACGTACAATAATAACAGCTTATGTCAATTTTTTAGCTAATTATATATATTTTATATTTTTCAATATTTAGTTAATTTTAATGATCAAAAAATTATTTTGATTTATAGCGAAATATATCATATATGTTGCGATTTCCGGATAAACCCATACTTGCTATTATGTAAATATTTGAAAACATCGCAGATAACATTTGAAGATATAAATTCTTGCTTAAAGGAATGTAGTTCCATATAGTGAGATATTTGTCACTACATGTGATTCGTTTAATATAGAATAGATCCAGCTGTAAATGAATAAAGTATGTGATTATAATTAATATTCAGTATTTATATAAAATACATTTACCATTCTTAGTTTCCATTTGTTACCCTGAAATTTTGATTTCTTGAATTGCAACCGTAACAAAACAGTTTGTATGCACACCTCGCTATCTGCTATATTTTGACAAGTAGTCGTAATAATAAAAGTATAACTTAGGAGCAGAAACGTGCCCAAAGCTATAATTACCAAATTTTTTATTTTTATTTTTTTAGAAAAAAATACTTGCATAATACACGTGTACAGAACCATTTCAGCTGAAATTTCATGCAGTATTGAAGCAGCTAGGAATTTCTCCATATAAGGTCGGAGTTTCATAGCATTTTTGTACAATTTGAGAAAATCTCTCACAGGTAACTGCGCTTTTGTGAAATTAGTATACATTGCATCTAACAGATCCGATATATCTTGTAGTATTCCATTATCTATTATCAAAAGTAAACCACTCAAAAAGGGAATCACAATCGTAGGCAAACATAATACTTGCAGGACTAAGGTTAAGAAGGTGGGTTTGTGAATGATTAATATGCACATAAAAGAAGTCGATCGCCAAAATAGCACCAAGAAGATAAGCCAATTGATATGTGGTTCTGTTTGAAACATCTTTATGTGATTGCGAAATAATTCCAAAAATAAATTCATAAATATATTCAATTCATTGTTTCCAAATATTATGTGGTAAATAGTACATAAGTTAAATAAACAGGCTTTCGCAAAAAAATAGATATACATTGCAAGAGCCAAAATTTTATATGCATCATTGGAGTTATGAAATGCGGTACCTCCAATTACTAAGCAGACCCCACATGAAATCAGTGTTATTGGTAAGAGTACTCCACATAGATTGAACTTCACATACTTCCAAAGAGAGTGCGTTCTCACAAATTGTTGTGTATCTTTATCGTAACTAAAAGGACACAATCCCATCATTTGCAATGTGAAATGGAGAATTTTCAATTGAATTTGTAATACCGTAACCATTTCTACGTATACCTATGAAGACAAGAAGACTTGTAGCTTTTGTTTGTCAAATAAAACTGATAATTGTTTGATTTGAAAAATGGAATTTTGCTCAATAAAGCACAATTTTGTACTTTGAATTTAAATGTTGAGCAGAATGCCATTAATGGCTGTAGCTAATTGTTGATGATTAGCAGTTTAAGTGATACGTACCAAATAAATTCATATTTAAGTGTTAAACTTAATATATTTGAGAAATATATATATCTGTATATATATATTCAGTGTGGCAGACGACTAATCCGGCCAGTTGTTCTCATAAGTTTATAGCCAAAATAATTACTAAATGTAATTGAATACATTTTAACATTTTCAGTTATTTTAGTAATTGTATACATATATGTTCAGATATTAAGTTTGCCGTTGGCATTCATTATTATTGATTCCTTCCTAAAATACGACAGTTATATCATTTTCATACAAAGTTTTCAAGTTAATTGAAATTGAGATCCATTTTTACAGTTGTACTTTGAGCTCCTATGGATATGGTGTAAATAATCCTGAGAAGGAAATCCATTATTACACGTAACTTTAATAATGAACTATGTATGTTATTTGAGTAAATATTGAATAAATATTGGCCTTTGCTAATAATTTAAAACATCAAGTTTTTACTTTTAAATTTCAAATTGATTTATTAATTAGTTCAATTGTTAATCATTTTCTCAGTCGAATTTTGAAAACTTTTTCAATTTAGAAAAATTATTTCAGGTCGACTACTGAGATATCGTTAGACTATCTTCTTTTAGCGTGGTAGCCAGTGCGATACAGGATATAAGCATAATTATAGAATGAATACACATTAATTATGTGGGGAAGTTATACTGCTTTGTTAACAACGACAGACTTTTTGGTAGGTTTCTGAATTTAGACGTTTTGAAAAATTGTGAACTATAACAACAAAAATTCTTTTTACATTATTTTTTTTGTTTTTTTAATTAATTGTATTTTTTGCTGACCATACAGCTGTTTCGAGATGAACTAATACCCATTATCAGTGGTCTTGGAATTATTTCTTATATTGAATAATTAAATTTTTGAGACTGCCAGTAGCAAGAGTTGAACTCGTACCCTGCCAAATTTGAAACTCAGAGTCATTAGTCGACTGACCCAAAACCGTACTTGACTTATATGTTCGACGTTTGAGTTTTGTTGGCTTTACGGAGAAAGCCATGCTAATAAATATAACAAATGCAATAAAAGAGAATAAAAAATAAAAAATATAAGAAGTTTTAACTATTATAAACATTTATAAAATAAACTTTTAATAAAATTTATAAAATGTAGAGAAAAACTTTGTATACTGGTGTTCGATATTTGTGTATTTTTGAATAACAATGACAAAGTTCCAAATTTTGTAAATATCAACTACAATTTCTCTCAACATTCGCATCGGCAGAGTTACTGTTAAATTAAATGTAAGTTCAACATAATGTGACCTTTATGTTATATGTCCAGATGCCAGTGGATACTACATAAGTTCCTGAACAAGAATATGCGCTCTTTTTATCGTAAATATACCCAAAATAAAGAATATAGTAGCTAATAGCATGTTAGGATAAGGCTTTTGGGTCATCTTAGCCATCATTTTTCTAAAACATCCATTTTCTTCCCCTCCTGAATAATTATCACTGGTATCATTGTTTTGGTTTATTTCCGGACTATTTTCCGGACTACTTGCCGGAGTTGGTTCCGAATTATTTGGTTGAGCATTTTCTTCATTTTCCATTTTACTTCTTCAGATAGAATGAAGCGCTACAAATATTAATATGAAGTAAGCAAATGATATAACAATTAGATATAAGTAGAGGAATCAATAAACCACAAATATCATAAATAAACGTTAAATTTAATGAAGAATGAATTAAACAAAAGTAAAATGTATCATATATATACATTTATATCTGATTTTAATTTCCATTATTGTTATCAAGAATGTGCTAGCTTATATCTTCCAATAAACAAATTCTACGTATTTTTTTAAACATTTTTATGAAAATATGCTTAGATTTAGAATAAAATGAAAGGTATAACCACTCAACTTTTTTAACTAATCTTTTGTTTTACACTCAGGCAGTTTTATTTATGCTGTATAATAACGATCCATTCACAACCTCAACAAAGCTATCAAGAGTTTTTGTTTAATTAATATTATTTAAACTTTTTAAGTTCCCAATTCTAACGTTTTCTAATCATTAATAATACACATAACCTTACTGATTCGAAAAATTATTGAAAAGATAACATTGTTGCAATCCGCTTACTTCTAGAAAATTTCTTGTCAGCGCATCAGTCTTCTGGTCAGTGGGGAATTACTGGTACAGTTGTTGTCTGGAGCACCAATTGCGAATACGGTATTGCAGTAAACCCAAAGAAATTTTGAAAATAATACCAAAAGTTTTACCAAAAAAAATTTATAGTCAAATTTAAATTTTTTATAATTAAATCTATTTTGAATTTCAATACATACTTTTCACTTAAGTATGTATTGACAGATTTACAATAACCGATTAATAACAACGTTTCATATATCAAACTTTTTGTAAAATATATGGATAGTTCTGAGTGCACTTCCAGTGCAATATTGGATTAAATCTTTGTATTTAAACTAACTTCACAGTCTAACCCCTTTTGTAATAGAAATGAAAGAATGAAATGAAATTGTTGAAATTTGCCTGATGAGTCCAGTAAATTGTCAAAAATAAGCATTAGTCTGGATGAGAGTTAGAAATTTCACACAATAAAAGAATTGGGAAGATTTGTTAAAAACAGTTTCGAAGTTGATATCTTATTGAATTGAATTTGGGCTATGTCCAAATTTAAGGCTATTAACATAGTGGATATAAACGAAACAGAAATTGATGCTATGGAAAAGCCAATGTAATCTGATCAAGGCTATAACGCGAAAATCGTGGAAACTAGTTAAGGAAACTGTTAGCACATGGTAATTTTTTATGTGTATATATAAAATATATATAAAACGAGTTCTATAACTATTGAGATATTCAAATATTGAATTTCTGAGCTACGAGTATAATTGTACCGAGCTACAGTAAATTAAGTAAATGAACTAATTTAGTTGTTCTTTTGCATGAACTAGGTCAGTAAAATTGATTGTTAACGAATTAAATAAACTTACTTTAATTAGGCAAATATTATTATTATTTAAAATAATATCAAATACACAACATCTAGTAAAGTTCAGTTAATATTCTACATCGTTAGTTTTTAACTTTACTAATCAGAACTTTAAATGTTTTTGCTACCAAATTGAAATAACTTTATACATAATTTAATTAGTCCTTGTAATAAATTATATATTTTCATAGCTTCATAACTTGACTTGACAATTTTATGGAGGCCATAAGTACTCCATTACACCAACAAATAGTTGCAATATCTAAAAGCAAGGATTTTCGCACTTCAAAGTAATTCCAAATTGTTAAATAGTTTGTTGGAAGGATTAGCTTTTCAATATAAAACTGATTTACCTGTAAGAAGAACAATTTTAACACTTTCATTGGCGAATACTTGTTTTTGCAATACTTACCAGTTTCAGCTGCCAGCTTGTATTCCTCCAGCCGAAACTATTAAAGTCTGATGCAAGAAAAAAGTTTTGTATTTTTACTTCATAGTTAGCAACATTTTCGCTAACATATGTAATAGTCACTGTGTAAACTGCGCAAATTAGTCCAAATCCAAGCATAAAAGCAATATAACCCATGTTTAACCCATCTCTGCTTAAGTAAATTACTTGTACATAATAAGAAATAAAATAAAGAAGAATGCACATCTCTAGCACAAGAGTTGCAGCAAAATATCTCTCAATCAAAGGGCGTAACTTGAGTATAGTTCGATAGAAGTTTAAAAAGTCTATTAACGTAATATTTTCATTGTTAGTAACAAATTTAAGTGTAGGCACAGTTTGTGATAACTTCGCCATCAGTTCCATATAAATCAAAAGCCCCAATGCTACAATCATAGATATTGTCAGATGTGGTATGTAAAACATTATCATCAAAAAAGTATTTTTAATAAATTCCATTTCAAAGGAGTAGAATATTAAAAAAAATATTATATATCGCGTTATCAGTAAAATATAACAAAGCAAATTAATTGTAAATTTATCAGCACAAATATTATGGTATTGTTTAAACAATTTAACATATAAATTAAGACACTTCCTCATGCCGGCACCATCGCAAATTATATCGTATGTTAGTGTGGTGTGATAGATGACACCATGAATATAGACACACACCATATAGAAGAATACCATATTTAGTTCAATGGAATTTTGATGTACTACTACTTGTCTTAAAAAATGAGGCAGGAGAGTACTAATAGCTATTTTACATGGTAGTAATATAAAAATATGAAGTATCTTAACATAAGTCCAAAGAATTCCAGATTTTACGAAACTCTTCTTTTGCGAATCATAGACAAACGGATTAACGCCTGTTAGATGTGTAAGAAAATTCCAAAATTTTAGTTGAGTTAGCAGAAATGAGTCCATTATATCGTGAAAATTTATGGTAACTGGCATGAAATTACAATGTTGTGAATATTTTTCCATTTCCTGACTTTATTATATCATTATGCGCATACATTTCGATAGCATATGCATGGTTAATTATCACATATTACCAGTAATGCATATAGATACCTGTAATAATATTAATAACTTTGGCTTATGCTTTAATTAATGATATTTTCTTAAATAAAACTGTTGACTGGCCTCGTGCATAAACTGTTTTACTGGCCTCGTGAATGTATATGAGGTTTGATTATTATGAAATGAGCAAACACCGGCAGTAGCGCAACCATAGTTGTTGTTAGTATTAAAGCTATTAATATGCTTGGTTGGTTGGTTGCAGTGGCAGGTCATAAGATAACTTCAAATGTACCTCAATTAGCGATTTTTCGCCGTTTTGTTACCACATTCCTCGCAAGAACCTTAGT